AGGTTAAAAATGTATTATACTAAAGCAAGAAAAAAAGTTACATTGCCCCCCCCCCCCCTTGGAAAACGCTGACACCCCGTGGTACACGCGAATATGTGTGCAATTGGTATGAAAAGTGAAAGATTTTAGGAAATAGAAGTTAGAAGTCATAGACTAACACCCCCCCTCCTCCACACGAAATAGGTTTTTCACGTTTTTTTGGTTTTGTTTGTTTTTTTATTTTGTTTTGTTTTGTTTTTTTTTGCTAGCTTGCTTGTCAAGAAATTTCTGGTATTGGTATTTTTTTTGGACTGGGGTGGACCCCGCCTCTGGAAAAAATTTCTGAATCCGCGCCTGTATATGTATATTGGTGGTGGGTTTGGGGAGGTTGTCTGGTCTACAAGCACTTGTGTTGAGCATATGTGTGCACATACTTTTTAAGGATGCCATGACAACTAAATGACAACTACGTTTTCATATTATTCCCACTTTTAAAAGTCCGTATATATTATTGTCGGTATTCTGGAATCAATCTTCTTTTTTTCTGTTTTGTTTTACAACAGGATGGTGAATATATATTTTTCCTTACAAATGAAGCAGGTTATAATTTCGGTTATAGTTTTTATATGTATATTGGAGCTTGGTCTGTGTGTGGTCAAAAGTATAAAGTTTTTCTTCTAATTTTATATTTTGACGAATAATGCATAGTTAACAAACAATGACATAGTTGAGCATAACTTTAAGAACAAAGAAAAGATTTTTATTATGAAAAATGCACAACCCGAAATAAATGCTATTTTCAACCTTTTTTATAATCCACAAATATAAACAGCTAAACATGTACGCACGGTCGTATATAGGAACGAGGTTGAGGGGTTGGGGATAAGCGCCCCCCTCCCTCTTGAAGTCGAGAATTAAAAAAACCTTATACCGGTATTATAGAAAACTAAACTACTGTATGCTTGTGCCCACTCAATTAAAAAAATCTTTCATTTTGGCTTCTCAAGGAATTGTTTGGTAGTGAGTCTAAACTTTTGGTTGTGCCTCCCCCCCCCCTCCCCTCTAACTGAAATTACTTACTTCAGGCCTGTTACATATTATATATTATATAAAATAAAAGCAGCCCAAGATAATTTAGTTAAGATATCCATTAAATACATCATCTAAGAAGATACTGTCTACCATGAATGCTAGTTTATTTCTTTGAAGTGATATTTTAATAAATTTTAAAAAGAATCTCTCTCTCTCTCTCTCTCTCTCTCTCTCTCTCTCTCTCAATACAAGACACTTAATAAAGCGTACTACCTATTTACTTGATTGTTTCAAGCTGTAAAAGTTAAACCTTTCCCCATATGAACAAGGCGCACACTACGAGTAGTGTAAATACGTTTAATCACTGACGCATGACAAACGTGTTTCTTAATCTGTCTACAGTATTATGGTGTATTTTCTTCCATTTGTTCGCTTCTTTTAAACATTGTAAGTGATCACAAAAAATTTGACATGAGCAATTTTCAAATACAAAGTGGTTAAAACATTATCTGTTCTATTTTACACATATACTTAATTCTTCCGATTTTAAACTTTATATGGGTACAATCACTGGTCCCGAGAAAGCTATCGAGATACGGAAAGTTAGGGAGAGTTACGTTCGTTCGTAAGATGCCGGTGTTTCTCTACTAAGAGATAATAGATATGATAAAGATAATTCCTAACAAAAAATTTCTGTAGGTTACCTTGCAATGAGCCTCTTGTATTTAAACCGGTAAATGGAGCTACAAATATTCCTTTATGATTAAACTTAACGTTATTGAGATAACATATTTTGGCACTACATTATGGGTTTTAAAAATGATCCCGTACGTATTGCACATGAAACGGATCGATGTGTACAAACCCGTAGGACAAGGCCATAAGCAATGAAAAGCCCGACGTAAACAGAGCCCTGGAGACGAAGTGGAAACGAAAGTTAAAATCAACTCAGCCTAAAGAAAGGAATTGTTTACTGATACTACAGGGAACCTCTGATGATAAATGGTATAAAAACGGTGTTTTGATTTTATCACACAGAAGATGATTTTTTAAAATGCTTATTTAGATTTGTGAACAGGAAGTAAATAAATAACGGCGTAAATGGTTGGCCGTTCTACTAAATGATGGAAGGAAATAGTTGAAACGAAAGTTCCGAATAAGTATAATTATCAAACAATTTTCTTCAAAACTCTGGATACCTATGATTTTTATTCTTAGAGTGATCAATTTCAATAAGAAAATATGCTGTGGGTAGTTCTATTTGCATTTCCTAAATAATTATGTGAAATTTACCAATGTTTTATTATATAATATGATAAATTTAAAAGATGAAGTATTACATGTTTTAAGAAACAATAAATACACAATCGCGTCGGAAGCAAATTGAAAGGGGGGAGGGGGCTAAGTGTGAAAAAAATTATACGTTCCCAAAAAAAAAAAAAAAAAAAAAGCGGGAAATGTCCATTTCCCAAACACGAAGGGGAATGGAGGGGGGTTGGGGGGATTAGTTCGAACTTCAATACCAAACTTTTTTTTCCAAACACCACCACTTACCCCATTTTAAGCTCACCCGAGCTGAAGGATCAAGTAAGCTTTTCTGATAACATTTTGTCCGGCGTCCCTCTGTCCGTCCGTCTAGCTGTCCGTCTGTCTGTAAACTTTTCACATTTTCGACTTCTTCTCAAGAACCGCGCGCTGGGCCACTTTCAACCAAACTTGCTACAAAGCATCCTTGGTGAAGGGGATTCAAGTTTGTTCAAATGAAGGGCCATGCCCTCATTCATGGGGAGATAACTGGGAATTAATGAAAATTTAGTGGTATGTTTTCTTCTCAAGAACCACTGTGCCAGAAAAGATGAAACATATGGGGAAACATCCTGAGGTAGTGTATAGATTCAAGTTTGTTCAAATCATGACCTCCGGGGGCAGGGCGGTGCCACAATGGCCGAACAAAGTTTTACATAGAAATATATAAGAAAATTATTTAAAAATGCTCTTCTCAAGAATAACAAAGCCATAAATGGTCATATTTATATGATAGCATCCTCAGGTAGTGTAGATTTAAGTTTGTTCAAATCATGACCCCCGAAGGTAGGGCGGGGCCACAATGGCCGACCAAAACTTTAAAAAAGATATATATTGGGAAATTCTTTAAAAATCTACTTCTCAAGAATAACAAAGCCATAAATGATCATATTTATTTTGAAGCATCCCCAGGTAGTGTAGATTCAAATTTGTTCAAATCATGACCCCCGGGGGTAGCGCGGGGCAACAATGGCCAACCAATTTGAAAGTTTTACACAGAAATATATATAGGTAAATTCTTTTAAAAATCTTCCTCTCAAAAATAACAAAGCCATAATTGATCATATTTATATGGAAGCATCCTCAAGTTTGTTCAAATCATGACCCCCGGAGGTAGGGCGGGGCCACAATGGTCGACTAAAATTTTACATAGAAATATTTAGGAAAATTCTTTATAAATCATCTTCTCAAGAATAGGAAAGCCATAACTGGTCAAAGTTTTTTTTTGGATTTAGAGTTTTCAATAATAAACCAATTTCTATTTTATTCTGAGCCACAGTGCTCAGGTGAGTGATGTGGCTCATGAGTAAGAGGGGGGGGGGGCTAAACCTACACAGCAATGTTCAATGTCTATACTAAGTATATATTTGCCCCCCCCCCCCCCCGGTTCCGACGCCTATGAAACATAACTTAGTTAGAGAATTTAGAGAAGTCATTGTGACGTCTTCATTTTCATCACTCAATGGTTGATTTTCAGAGCCTCAGGGTCGGACTACCTTATTGATCTACATTTTGATAATAAAATTAATTAGGTGAAAATTTGTTCACTTAAAACATTATCTTTTATAAACATGATAAAGTTGAGGTATTATTGTCGGAGATATCATTGACACAATGTTGTAATTTACAGAGAGACTGACTGAGGAAATCAACATGGAATTCTATTATAAAACATCAGGATAAAGATGAAATTGATGTCTGCAGTATATGATGTATAGAGCAGTGTTAAAGAAATCTGTCACAGTGCCAGGTGTTAGGGAGTGTTATCACATTACCCTCGTGTCTACAGACCGGGTCTGGATCAGTGATAGTGACGGCAATCTTACACTGACAAACACAAAAGGCAAAGAATTAGATCATGTGACAGATATAGGTAGTGATTATGGAGGACACACTGTGGACTCTAACGGTGATTTGATTTATATAGACAGGGAATTAAACATCATTAAACTGTCCAAAGAGAACAAAGAAAAGACTACGATAATACAGTACAACACGTCACCATGGTATCCAGTGTGTGTCTACAGCTCCCCCTCCACTGGAGACCTGCTGGTTGGGATGGATAGACGTGATACACTGCCAACTATAGGCAAGGTAGTGCGGTATAACTCCACAGGAGAAAACATCCAGACCATACAGCACGACAACACAGGTCAGGAACTGTATAGTCAACCTATCTACATAACAGAGAACCGCAATGGAGATGTTATTGTGTCTGACTTTGGCCGTCGTGCTGTAGTGGTGACAGATCGTGACGGTAATTACCGGTTCTCCTACACACGTACTCCATCAGGATCACGACTATCACCACGTGGAATCTGTACTGACGCGCTGTCACACATCCTGCTGTTTGATTATTGGACCAACACAGTACAGATGTTAGACAGTGAGGGTCGCTATCTGACAGAGATACTGACACCTCAACACGGGATAGACGGACCATGGGGCCTGAGTTATGATGATGACACTCGTCTACTGTGGGTAGGGTCAGACGACAACAACACAGTCAACCTATACAGAGTGGTAGATACAGACTCTCTGACTGGTAAGTAACACTGTAGTTTATTTAAGTGTTCTGCTTAAAAATATCAGATGTCTGTGATTTAATAAACTTCAATTGATTTTAATGATAAAGTCATTGAAGAAAAATTATTGTAAATCGGTTTTGTCTAGTTGCAAATCATATACATGTAGTAAAGTCGTTTTAAAAGAGATTACAAACCATAACTAAGCTTTATATACCAATATACCGGGGTATATTTACGTACGAAAGCCGGATAGGCTCATTTCTAAGAAGATAACAAAAAAATTAACTCGTCATAACGAGTTAATTATCTCGTTATAGCGAGTTAGTATCTCGTTATAACGAGTTAATTATCTCGTTATATCGACTTAGTTATCTCGTTTTAACGAGTTCGAATCTCGTTATAACGAGTTAACTATGTCGTTATAACGAGTTAGTTATTTCGTTATAACGAGTTAATTATCTCGTTATAACGACTTTGTTATCTCGTAATAACGAACTAGTTATCTCGTTATAACGACATAGTTATCTCTTTATAACGAGTTAGTTATCTCGTTATAACGACAAAATTAACTCGTTATAACGAGATAATTTTCTCGTTATAACGAGTTAATTTTTTAGTTATAACGAGATAATTTTCTCGTTATAACGAGTTAATTTTTTCTCGTTATAACGAGTTAAAAACTCGAAAGTTGAAATATGTAAGTTATAGGAAGTATGTACTGTATGGCATATAAAATCGGGTCAATCAAGCTTGTTTAAAGTGTGTATGATAAATATTTCATTGAAAAACAGCAAACTAGTTTTGTTTTGTTTTGTTTTTTAGAGGGTGCGACTGTGGTTCGCTTATTTTTAAACGATGCAATTGATTTGTATTGTATTACTCAAAAAACCAAAGACAAATACGTGTACGTGATTACGGAATCTTATGACTGCCTCGTGATGTTGTTTATGAGTGGACAGTAGCCCCTGAATTTTACGCGGACCCATGACCTAATTGCTGATATCTCCATATCCCCTTTTTTTCAAAACATTTCTGACTCTAAAATTTTATATATCACACTGTAAGTGTATAGATATGTTGCGTAACTAACGCCTGTCTTAGCTTGCCATTATAATGCATTAATTAAGAAATTAAACATTGATTAATATGGAAGCTATAAAATTATCCAAAATTAAACATATATAAACAAACAAATTAGTGTGTTTTATCAGAGAAAGTTGTTATACTTAAATTGCAAAACTTTGAAGCAAGTACATTTGGCCATATATTTTTAATAGTGTGTACTTAGAGACGTTCACGTATAAATGTGTAAATGTGTTCGATTAAAAGATTGCAATCTTTATCAAATTGTGATTATTGACGGCAAGATACTTGTAGTTCGAACAGTATTTATATCATTAAAATCATATCGCTAATTATATTTGCATCTCAATCTTTATCAATTTTAATGTTATGTACGATTGATACCGGTAATTATCAACTAAACTCCAATGGCATTAAAACTACAGCCATTTTTAATTCCTATATTGCTATTAATTTGAAAATAAAAGGGCAACTTATTATTTCGTTATAGCGAGTTAGTTAATTCGTTATAACGAGAAAACTAATTTGTTATAACGAGAAAACTATCTCATTATAACAAGATAACTAAATCGTTATAACGATACCATTAACTCGTTATAACGAGAAAATTTACTCGTTATAACGATAAAAATTAACTCGTTATAACGAGAAAATAATCTCGCTATAACGAGAAAATTAACTCGTTATAACGAGATAATTAACTCGTTATAACGAGATAACTAATTCGTTATAACGATAAAATTAACTCGTTATAAAGAGATCATTAACTCGTTATAACGAGATAACAAATTCGTTATAACGAGATAACAAACTCGTTTTAACGAGATAACTAAGTCGTTATAAGGAGATAATTAATTCGTTATAACAAGATAATGAACTTGTTATAACGAGATAATTAACTCGTTATAACGAGATACTAAGTCGTTATAACGAGATAACTAAGTCGTTATAACGAAATAATTAACTCGTTATAACGAGTTTATTTTTTTTTGTCTTTTCAGAAATGAGCCTAACTCGGTATAACGAAATCATTAACTCGTTATAACGAGATAATTAATTCGTTATAACGAGATACTAAGTCGTTATAACGAGATAACTAAGTCGTTATAACGAAATAATTAACTCGTTTTAACGAGTTAATTTTTTTTTGTCTTTTCAGAAATGAGCCTATCCGGTGTAAAGACGAATAATGACCCCCATCGAATAATGACCCGGGGTCATTTTTCGACAGCGAAAAATGACCCCCGGTCATTATTCGACGTAGAAAAATGACCCTTTTGCCCGTAGAAAAAGTGTCACTTCCCTAAAAATTTGCAGAATCCACGTGAAGAAAAATGACCCCCGTAGAAAAATGACCCCCTGTAGATTAAAGCTAAAATTTGTTTTGGGCAAAAAAAAAATTGGATAAAGAAGCATATTTGCCAAAATGCTCACCTGAGCTTATAGGGAATAAACTGATGATATGTTGATCTATGAATTGCACTGAATTGACCACGGATTTTTTCCGTTATTTCCGATTATGACAACGAGCACACGGCGGGTGTGACCGGTCGGCAGGGGATGCTCACTCCTCCATGGCACCTGATCCCACCTCTGATGTTTCGGGGGTCCGTGTTTGCTCTGCTCTTATTTTGTATATTTGTTTAATGGACGTTGAGATTGAAAACTGTTCGTTATTTCCATATCCTTCTCATAACATTCAGAATCTAAAGGAGTAAAAGATTTATCAAGCCCTAAGGGTTAGGTAAACATTTTTTTTGATGGTGGAAATCATCGAACTGACAGAAAAAATCAACAGTATTTTATATCATTATATCCTCCGCTTGAAAAGCGGGAGGGTATATAGTGATCGGGATGTCCGTCCGTCCGTCTGTTACGTTTATCCGCAAATCCTCATATATAAAAAGATTTTTGTGAAACAACTATGCCCCTGTATGGCAACATAGCGAAGATTAAACTTTTCTTACATGCAATTTAAATATATTGTTACCCAAAGTAGGGTCTTCTCACAAGAAATACAACTGGAAAATAGGAAAGCCCTAGCACCACTTGTTCAAAAGTAATGGCTAAAGATAAGTTTTTGAAAGGTAGGTCAAACTCAAAGGTCAAAGTTGATGATTTCTTAAGAAAATGTTTAATATAAAAAGGATTACATAGGTGAAGTATGAATTCCCGAGCCCTTACCGTTCAAAAGTTATGACCAAGGTAAAAAAAATCATAAGTACGGAAAACTCGAAGGACAAGATCAAAAGGTCAAAGTTTTTAGTATCCAATGAAAGGTAATGAAAAAAACTACATCTTTGAAGTATGAGAGTACTAGTATCTACCGTTTAAATGTTATGGCCAAAGTAAAAAATTGGCATTTTTGTGTAAAATGGGACAAACTCCAAGGTAAAGGTCAAAAGGTCAAATTTGGTGGTACCCAAAGTAAGGTCTTATCACAAGGAATATACATATTAAATATGAAATTCATAGCTCCAATAAATGAAAAGTTATGGTAAAGGTTAAGGTTTTTGCGGACAAACAAACCGCCAGATAGACAGATGGACATACAGACAAACACGATAAAACTATATACCCCCGAATCTTCGATTACGGGGACATAAAAAGAATTGGTCTTCAATTAACTTTTCATATTAATATACATAATAAAGAAGACGTTACAACAATGAATATGTTTGTTCTTATTTTCATATTAAATTCTCTGAAAAATATACCCAGAACTGAGTAAAAGGATAGAGTAAAACAAGAATTAAGGTAAAACCTAT